GGGGGGTCTGGCAACACACGCACGCATGTAAAGAGCTGTTCTATCCTAGTCACTTCGTTTCGCGTTTCGCGAATTTCACATCTCTCAGCGCGAGAAATCTCATTGTTCCTCGCCCATGCGCAGCAGCTCCACCTCTCTCCAAGCCGCTCTAGCCGCCTCGGCGGCCTGCGTTCTATATTCCCTCTCGCCTTCACTCTGCTGCGTGCGCGGCATGGCTTGCCAGTACTCTTCGGCGCGCCCTCGCATGCCCTCGTCGCGCAGCAGCGCCACGTGTGCCACATGCGCCGCCTGCACGGCGCTGAGCGTCGATTCGACGTGCGACAGCGTGGCGCGCAACGACGTCGAGATGCGCGAGATGGGCGTCAGAGGCAAGTGCGTGGGGTAGATGTACACCACCACGAAGAGCGTGGCGAGGAGGCAGGAACGCAGCAGGGGCAGGGTGCGTGACCACTTGTGCAAACGAGGCGTGCGTCAGTGTAGAAGAGGGGCAAGAGAGAGAGAGAGGGGGAGAGGGGGGGGCAACGCACGTGTAGAGCCCATTTCGGCACGCTTTGCTCGAGCGAGTCGGCGGCGCCAAAGAGGAGGCAGTACTCTGCGCCTGCGATGCCGGCGATGCTCCAGGCGCCCGACTTGCGCCAAGCGCTCCTGTCGAGCGCATACGTCTGTTCCCGGCGGTGCTGCGACACTGCGCCTGCCTCTCGGCGCAGCAGCAGGGCGGCGAGGCGCGCGGCGAGGGCGTCGAGGGCGCCGAGGGCGCTCGCCGAGGCGGTGAGCAGGCCAAAGGCGAGCAGATGCAGCGCGTAGAGCGGCAGCGTGAGGAGAAAGGCCCAGGACTTGAAGTCGGAGGAGGAGAGGCAGTAGGTGCAGTCCAAGAGGGGCGCGTGCGAGAGAAGGAGATAGAGTTTCTTGGAAAGGCCCCCATCACCACAAGTCAGCGAGAAGAGAGAGAGAGAGAGAGAGGGGAGGGGGGCAACACGTACCCGGCCTTCATAGCTGGCACAGCGCTTCAAGATGCGCTCCAGCTGCTCCTCGCTGCCGCTCCAGCGGCGCGCGACGGCGCTCCAGTGCACGGCGATGTTGGCGCGCAGCGTCGCCGTGCTGGCGTTGATGGGCGTGTGGGATGCGCAGAAGAGATCCGTGGGCAATGCGAGCAGGGAGCGTGCGGCGTGCAGCAGTACGCCGAGCAGCAGCAGCAGCAGCAGCACGTCGGAGAAGGAGGAGGGCGCGCAGAGAGTGGGCCGCCAGGGGCTGCGCAGGCGGGCGCTGGGTGCGGCGCGAGAGGCGCCAGTGCCGCGGAGGAAGGAGAAGGCGGAGCGCAGGAGCAAGGGCACGACGACGATGGAGGCCAGCGAGGTGAGCGTGGCACTGTCGAGCATGATGGCCCGCCAGAAAGGGCCGAGTGCGAGGGTGGTGGTGGTGGGACGACAGAGTGCGCGTTGTGCCTCGCTTGCCTCGTGCGCATCTCGCGCGGCGGCGGCGCGCCTAGCTCGGCGGCGTGCACTTCATTGCGCCCTCGGCCCCTTTGCTTCTTCCCCTCCACCTCCTCCCTCATCGCGGCGCGTCATGCCCGCCGCGCTCTCCCCCCTTGGGCCCCACGCGCCTCTCCTCGTCGATGCGGGCAGCAGCACGCTGCGCCTCCGCCTCGGCGCCGCGCACGTCGCGCTGCCCATGCCGCTGGCGCGCGCCGGCGCCTCGGCGAGCAAGTCGGCATCCGCGGCGCCGGAGCGGCGCACACGCGTCACCGCCGCCCCCGCTGCCGCGCCCGCGATGCGCTCGACCAGAGACGCAGCGGTGCATGCAAGCGCCGCAAACGCAGCCGCCGCAGCCGAGGCGCAGGCGCGCAACGCCGCACCCGCACCCGCGGCACCGGCAGCAGCGGCGGCACAGAGAGGCGACAAGGCGGCGGCGACGACACTGGGCAGCAGGACGGAGTGGAAGGCCTTCTGTGCGACGCTCCAGGAGGGCGTGGCGCAGGTGCTTGCGCAGCAGCAGCAGCAGCAGCAGCAGCAGCAGCAGCAGCAGCAGCAGCAGCAGCAGCAGCAGCAGGGCGGCGGCGGGCCGAGTGCGCCGCCTGCCACCCCCTCGACGCAGGCGAGCTCGAGTGGCGCGGGCAAGAAGCGCAAGGCCGCCGCCGCCGCCGCCGCCGCCGCCTCTTCCTCTGCTGCTGCTGCTGCCACGAGCGAAAGCGCTCGCCTCGGCAAGCCGCTCGCCTCGCGCGGCGTGCTCTTCAGCGAGGCGGGCCACGCGGCGCTGTGGCGCGGCGCGGGCACAGAGGAGCGCGAGGCGCGCGAGGAGATGCTGCGAGCCTTGTTCTTCGACACTTATGGTGCCGCTGCCGTTGCTTGTTGCAGCTGTGAGTTAGTCACCGGGGGGAGAGGAGAGGAGAAGTGGGGCATAGACGTGGAGAAAGAGAGAGAGAGAGGCTGAAACGCACTGTGCCCCCACGCGCGTGTGTGTGTGGGAACCGCAACAGCGGCGTTTGCTGCCAGCTATGCGCCGCTCTTTGCGTCGTCGGACGGGCCGCGCGGCGAGGACGAGGGCGAGGCGGGCACGACAGTGACGACGACGACGTCGACGACGAGCGCCGCCACGAGCGCAAAGCACAAAGGCAAAGCACGCCGTCCCGAGGCGCTCCTCGTGCTCGACATTGGGCATGCCGGCGTCTCTGCGCTGCCCATCGTGCGCGATCATGCGATGCTTTGCCATCTCCAATTGTGCGTCCCCCCCCCCCCCAATCCCTTTCCTTCTCCTCTCGTTCTAGGCTGACACGTGTGCCCCCTTCCCACGCATCAAAAAAAAAGCTCCAGCACCTCCGGCCGCTCGCTCACGCGTGCGCTGCAAGCGACGCTCTCGTTTCATCAGTGGGACATGTCCGACGAGACGCTGCTCGTGCAGCACATCAAGGAGCAGTGCTGCTTTGTGCCGGCGGCGTACGGCAATGCTTCGTGTCGCCCCGACGTCGTTGTGGGGAAGGAGGCGGAGAAGGAAGTGCAACGATGGAGCTTCAAGGCGTGTGAATGGGCATGTCGGTGAGTTGGGCGCCAGCTTGCACATTTGCTCGCACACCCACAGAGGAAGTGCAAGCTGATCGGAACATGCGCAAACAGATCAAAGCGCAACGCGATAGCTCAAGACTACATCCTGCCCGACCATGCCGAAGCGCTGCCTGCCAGCGCCAGTGCGGCGCAGCGCGAGCGCGCCACGTTTGGCTACGCGCGGCCGGCGTACCCCTCTGCCGCTGCGGCTGTTGCTGCTGCCGGCGAGGAAGGAGAGGAGGGAGGAGGCGAGCGCAAGAGAAGGAAGACGGACGAGCAGGTGCTGCGCTTGGAGAGGGAGAGGTACGAGCTGGGCGAAATGTGCTTCTCAGACGGACGGCGACGTGAGTGTTTGCACGCTTCTGAATGGAGAGAGAGGGGCGAGCTTTCGGGCCTTTTTGCGAGAGAGCAAAGACTGACATCGCCAGGCCGGCCTGGCGGCACCCAGTTGCTGCCCTGTCAGTGCTGCAAGCCTGCGCAGGCAGCAGCAGCAGCAGCAGCAGCAGCGGCAGCGGCGGCAGCGCGACTGCCCCTTCGTCGCAGACGCTGCCGCAGCTGGTGCACTCTGCCATTGCCGCGTGCGAGGCGCAAGTGCAGCCGCTGCTGTGGAGCAACATCCTGCTCATCGGCGGCGGAGCGGCGATGAAGGGCATGCGGGCACGCCTGTGAGTTTGTCTTGGCTTGGGAAGCGCAGCAACGTATGTTAGGAACGTCGATGCTGACGGCCCGATTTGCTTGATGGGCATGATGGGCAGAGAGACGGAACTGCGAGCGCTGGCGCCGACGAATGTGCCGATGAGGATCTGGCAAGGCAATGCGTGCGTTCCCTTGCGTGCCTCGCTGGCCTTTGAGCGCAGAGCGATGCACTGACCCCCCCCCCCCCTGCCATCTTGACGCCGCTCGCCGCGCAGCATGTCGGCGCTGCATGGCGCACGTGCGCTCGCGGCCGAGACGAAGGCGCTGCGTCCGCTGTGTGTGTCGCGCGCGGAGTGGGAGCGGGAAGGTGGGCGGCGTCGGGAGGGCGCCAAGTGAGGCAACGAGAGGGAGCATGCCCGGAGGCGAATACAGAAGCGCGGCGTGAATAGAATGCGGCGCGCGCAGGTTGAAGGCGCATTGTTGTATTGCCCGCCGGCCTGCCTTCGTGCCGCGCCTGCCGCACGCCTTGCTTGCCCTCCACGTCCACCGCCATCCCCACCATGGCGCCCCCGCCCGGCACGCCCGAGCCGCCGCGGCGCAGCTCCATGCCGCTCCCCGGCCTCAACACGACGGCCTCGTCGCTGCGTGCGCGGCGCAGCAACACCTCGGCCGCCGCCGGCGCCGCCTCGCCCGCCGCCCTCTCCGCCGGCGGCTCGTCGCTGCGCCGCGTCGTCGGCACCCACAGCGCCAGCGACGACGACGACGACGACGAGGACGACGACGACGAAGAGGAGGAGGCGCATGACACACTGGGCCATCAGGCGCTCATCGATCTGCAGGCTGGCCTCATCATGCCCGGCGTCTCCGTCGCCGCGCGTCCCAACCCTGCCGCCGCCGCCGCGCGGCCGCCGCTGCTGCCCGGCGCGCCCGCGGCCTCGTCCGGCGGCTCGGCGGCGCTGGCGCGCGCACGGCAGCCGCTCAATCCCATCGCACGCAGGGCCGCCGGGCAGCAGGCGGCGCCGCTGCGGCCGGCCGGCGCCGCCGCGGCGCGCCCGCAGGCCTCGGCCAAGCCGCCGCCGCCGCAGAGCCGCTTCAAGGGCACGCCGGCGCGCAGCACGCGCTACTCGCTCCCCGTGCGCGCCGAGAAGCCGGTGCGCACGAGCAAGACGAGCGGCAAGCACGTGCTGCTGCCGAGCGAGAGCCAGCTGGCGCCGCTGCCGGGCGACGAGGAGGAGGAGGAGGAGGAGGAGGACGAGGAGAGCGAGAGCGAGAGTGCAGAGGACGACGTCGCGGCAGCTGCCAGCACGCCTTCGCCGACAAGACCCATCCCCGTCGGCGTGCGGCCCGCTCCGAGTGCCGCAGCGCCCCGCGGCCCCGTCCACGCGCGCGCGCCGCCGCGCGTGCCCAAGGCCTCGGGCCCGGCGTACCACACCTTTGAGCGTCTGGCGCCGCAGTCGCGGCAGCACACGCCGCTGCCGCGCCTCACCTCGTACGCCATTGGGCCCTCGATCCACCTGCCCACGCTCGTCGGCTTTCTGCGGCGCGAGCACGGCGTGCGCCCGCGCCTGTACGACGAGTGCGCCTACGTCGTGTACTTCAAGCCCCTGCTGCCGGGCTTTGGACGCGCAGAGGTGCGCTCGGCGCCCGAGCCGCGAAGCGGCAGTCCGGGCGCCGAGAGTCGCAGGGAGCGAGAGCTGGAGGGCATTGAGGAGAGCGGCTACGTCGGGAGCGTGAGTGACACACTCGGCTCAGCGCCGGCAGGTGTGCTGACGCCCCCTCCCACGCAGTACTTTGCCGCGAGCAAGGACGAGGAGGAGGACCCGCACGGCTACATCCACGGCGGCGAGGGCCAGTCCGAGGGACAGCAGGGCAAGGAGGCCAGCACGACGGACCGCGAGCGCCGCGAGCTGAGCGAGCACATTGCGCGCGTCTCGTCGCGGCCCACGTCGCCTCAGCCGAGCTCAAACGGCGCCGCTGCGACCGAGCTGGCGTCGAGTCCCGAGGGGCATCGCCGCTTGAGCTCCGACGAGGAGGGCGCCACGACGCCGCGAGCACTGCAGCCGATCCGCATGCACGACGAGCCGGACGAGGATGCGCTGGGCTCGCTCGATGCCGCGATGCTGGGCTCGTCGCTCGGCGCCGCGTCTGCGTCGAGCGAGGAGATGGCGCCCTCCTCGTCGCGCGCCCGGCGCGGCAGCGGCGGCATGCTCACCGACGACGAGCTGCTCTCGGCCGACGAGGCGGGCGCGCGCGACATGCTCATCCAGCAGTACGAGCTCGAGAATGGCGGCAGCGACTTGGCGCAGGCGGCGCCGCCGGGCGGCGTCGAGGACGGCAGCATCATGCTTGATGCGGCGTCGCCTCCCTCCGCTGCGCCTCGCAGCTGGGAGGAGAGCAGCGCGCCGGTGCCGCGCGGCGGCGGCGGCGGCACGCGGCGAGCACGCAAGGGCCGGCGCTCCACGGGGCCCAACATGGCGTCGCACAACCACGACACATCGGCCAACATGCTGACGTCGCGCAGCATCCTCGAGGCGATGCAGCAGGCCGAGCTCATCATTCTGCCCTACGGCGTGCTGGTCATGTACAACCTCAGCGCCGCCGACGAGCGCAGCATCATCCGCGACGTGCTCTCGTCGGGCTGCGTGCGCGGCGGCGCGCCGCTGGGCGAGGAGGAGGAGGAGACCGAGGCGTTCCACTACTGCTACGACCCCACCGTGCCGGCGCCGCGCATCTTCAACGACTTTTTCACCTTCCGCGCGCCCAACCACCTCCTCAAGCTCAGCCTCGCCCACGCCATTGCACAGAGCACCAAGCTCTCCGTGTTCGAGGAGAGCATGCAGCGCACGCTGGAGCTCACGAGCCACATTCCAAAGGAGCTCGCCTCGTCGGGCGAGCTGAAGCTCAAGCGGCGCGAGGCGCTGCGCCTCACGGGGCGCATCTTCAAGCTGCGCGTCGATGTGAATCTCACGAGCAACCTCCTCGACACGCCCGAGCTCTTCTGGAGCGAGGCGAGCCTCAAGGCGCTGTACGACGCCATCCGCGAGTACCTCGAGATCGACGAGCGCGTCGAGAATCTCAACGAGCGCCTCGCCGTGTGCAGTTCGCTGAGCGACTTGCTGCACGAGACGCTCTCGAATGCCGCCATGAGCAAGATGTGAGCCGCGCGCGTGAGATCTGACGCACGCCCCGCGCACTGACGTTGTCTCGCGCAGCACGTGGATCATCATCATCCTCATCATCGTCGCCTGTCTCGTCGCCTGCGGCGAGATCAGTGCGCGCCTGCTGCTGCACGGCCGCGGCGCCAGCGCGCGCGCCTTGGTGCGGCAGGCGCGGCTGCTCGAGCGCGTGGCGCCGAGTGCGCCGCAGCTGCTGCTAGGATGATGCGATTAGCGGATGCCGAGGGGGAGCGTAATGGTACAAGCTGTGATGTGGCGGCGCGTCGTGAAGAGAGAGAGTGTGGTATGCGGACGCGGCTCAGACGCGAGGACGCTTCGTCGCGCCATGCTCGTCGATCGGCAGGTTGCCCAGCGGCTGTCGAGGCGCCTCGGCCGCGCCGCGCTTGGCGCCGAGCGTGCCGACGTAGGCGTGCCCCACGGGCCTGCCCTGCGCGTATGCCAGACCGCGTGGGGCGCCGCCGGGCGCCGCCGCCTCCAGCACAGGCGACGGCGCCGTCGTCGAGGCGCGACGCGGCGAGGAGCGCACGGCCAGACTGCCGCCGGGACGTGAGGCGGCAGCGGAGAGTGACGAGGCGCCGTTCTAAGGACAGTGCGTGAGCGGTGGACAGCCATGGGGTACGCGAAGTGCTCACCGGCGGCGCAGGTGCACTGAAGCGGCCCTTGCTGCCCGCACGCTTCGGCGGCGGCATCGCGGCCTTCTCGCGTGCGCGCGACTCGACGTACTCCTGCTTGACGCGCAGTGCCGACGCCGTCTCGTCGTCCAGACCAATGCCACTGTCGTCTGCCTCGGTCGTCTCGCCGCTCGCCGTGCGCGACGACGAGGCGGCATTGATGACGACGGGCGTGGAGGCCGTGGTGGCCCGCCGGAACTGCGGGCCGTGCAGCGCACGCATGCGCGCCTCCTCCTCCATCTGCATCTCGAGCGCCATGGCCGCCGCCTCGGACTCGCCCGAGTCGGCGGCGAGGTCTTGCGAGCCAAACATGCCCTCGTCCTCGACGTAGTCGAGCGCGCCGTGCAGCGTGTGCTCGTCGACTTCGTCGAGCATCTGCGCGGTGGTGGGGCGCTGCTGCTGCGCCGATGCTGCTGCCGCGGCCGCTGCGGCCTCCTCGTTCTTGCGCGCGGCCGCCGCAGCCTGCAGCTCGGCCTTCTTCTGCGCCGCCATCTGCAGGCGCCGCTGGCGCTCCTCTTCGGCGCGCTTCGCCGCGGGGCCGGGAGCAGGCGTCGTGTGCGAGCGCGCACCCATGCCGCCGCTGCTGCTGTTGCCGCTGCCGCTGCTCGACGCTGCTGCGTTGCGCGCCGGCGCCGGCGGCGGCGGCATGCTGTCATCGTCCATCTCCGTGTCCGTGCTCGTGTGCGGCTGAGCGGCAGCACTGGCGGCCCTCGCCGCGTTGGCCTTGTCGCGCTCGGCGTTGGCAGCACGCAGCGCGGCCATGTCGGGTGCGCGCTTGAGGTCGGCGATGCTGTACTCCTCGTGCTTGGCCTGCATCTTGCCCGCGGTGGTTATGTAGCGCTTGTCGTACATGCAGTTGCTGTGCGCGCGTCAGCACGGATGCGACCCTCGCCCGGCGCACGACTCACCCCAGCAGCTTTCCAAAGCTCTTGATGGTGCGCTTCAGCGCATCCGTCGCCGCCTCCTTCTTGGCCTTCTGGAACGCCTGTCCCTTGCTCTTGACGCCCTCCATCGCCCCGTTGCCCACGTCCTCGTGGTACGTGCCGTCGCGCAGCGTGATGCGCATGATGCACGACACGCCAATCTTGACGCGCCCCTGCTCGTCGACGTCGCAAAAGTCCGTCTCGAGCGAGACGATGCTCGAGGACCAGCCGTTGAAGCCAAACACCTCGTTGGCGAGGTCGATGGCCTTCCAGCCCTCGAGGTAGGGCACAGGCGGGCCTGCGCTGCGTCAGATGGATCTGTGCTGCCGGCCCGTGGCGCACTCACCGCCGCCGAAGCCGGGCCGCTTGGCAATGTACTCGGGCCCGAGGCGCTGGTTGAGCTTGCTCTGCAGGCGCGAGATCTGGCTGAGCGCATCGTCGCCCGGCTGCGGCGGCACGAGGCCGCTGGCGGGGAAGAGGCCGGGCGCGGCCAGGGCGCCGGCGTGCGCGGCGGGCACGGCGACGAGGGCGTCGGCGAGCAGGCGCGCCAGCCAGGCGGCGTCGGCGGGCGCCGGCGCGTTGCCGAACACGGCGTGCTGCGAGGGCCCGGCCTCGGGCTTGATGCTGCTGCCGCCAAAGGGGCGTGCCGAGAGGGTGCGCCCGTCGTGCAGCTCGCGCGCAGCGGCGGCGGCGTGCTGCTGCTGCTGCTGCTGTGCGCCGTGGTCGTGCAGCACGGCGTCGGCAAAGTCCGAGGCGGCGTTGGACATGCCGGGCAGGTGTGGGTGCTGTGCGCGATGCGAGGTGGAGGAGAGGAAGATGGATGCGCGGCGCGGGTGGCGCGCCGCTGACTCTTACTTGCGCCGCGCGTGTGTTGCTCTCACGCCGCGCGCGCCTCTTTACGCGCGCGGGTCCGCGTCGCGCCATGCCGTCTCACCTCGCCGTCGCACCGAACGGCTGCCATGGCGAGGTACGGCCTGTGCGCTGGCATCAAGCGGCGTGCTGGAAGCAGCGCAGCGGCGCCTTGTGTCCTGGTCCAGACACGCCCGGCTGCGCAGACAAAGACAGCGGCCAGTGCTCCACACGGCGTGAGACCAACACTCGCGCCCCGCTCCGCCGCGGCGCACTTTATCGGCCGGCATGCGCGCGGCGGCGCGGGTGATGAGGCGGCGGCGGCGCAGCGGCACATGTCACCCGCGGCCGCGGCGCCAGGGCAGAGCAGGGAGCTCGCCGTTGCTGCGCACCTCTCACCAGCACCACCACACCGCCGTCTCGCACCATGGCGCTCTTCCTCCTGCGCGTGCCCCTGCTGCTGGCGCAGCACGCCGCCACGCTCGGCTATCCGCTGTATGCCTCGTACAAGGCCCTCGCGCCGCCGCCGCCGCCCGGCGCGCCGCCGCGGCGCCGCAGCGGCAGCGCCGCGCCCCTCGCCGCGCACGACGAGCTGCTCGAGCTGCAGACGTGGAGCATGTACTGGAGCGTCGTCGCGCTGCTGCATCTGGCCGAAACGTGGATCGAGTGGAGCTGGAGCTGGTGAGTGCCGGAACAGCGGCAAGCACGGCAGGCGCACATGATTCCTCGCCTGTGCTCAGGCCCTCACGCTTGCCCGACTCCTTTCCACAGGATTCCCTTCTACTTCGAGGTCAAGCTGCTCTTCATGCTCTGGCTCGTGCTGCCGCAGACACGCGTGCGTCGCGAAGCAACACTGCACCCCTCACCCCGCTCACCTCCCTGCAGGGCGCCACGCTGCTCTACACGACCTACGTCGACCCCTTTCTCTCGCAGCACGAGGAGGCCATCGATGCGGCGCTGAGCGAGGCAAAGAGCAAGGCCAAGGCGGCCGGCCTCGCATGGGTGGCGCGCATGTGGGAGCGCGTCAAGGGCTCGGTGCTGAATGCCGCGCTGGTGAGTGGTCGCGCACCTCTCGCCGGAGAGACGACATCTCACTTCTCTGTCCCACAGGCGCAGGAGGCTCCTCAGAACTACACCATGTCCAACCCTGGCGCTGCCGCTCCGCAGCCCGCCGCTCAGGGCGCAGCCGCGCCCTTCATGAGTCTCTTCCAGACATACGCTCCCGCCGCGGTCGCATTCGGCTCGAACGCGCTCAGCAAGGCACGCGCCGGTGCCGTTGAGCCGCCGCCGCAAGCGGCCAGTGCTGCAGCGTCTCGCCGTGCGCCCAAGCTCAAGACGCAGTCGTCTGCGTCTTCCGCATCACTGGGTCGCTCTGCCGCTGCCACTCGTCGACGCGAGCTGGAGCGGCAGCTGGCAGAACTCGACGCGGCGGCAAGCAGCTCCGACGATGGCGCCGCCAACGACTCGCTGCAGGTGCCGGCCTCTCTGCGTCCCGGCGGCAGCAGCTCTCGCCGCACCTCCTCGCCCGCGGGCTACTCTTCCAGTCCGGCGCCGAGCAGCGACGAGGACCGCCGCGCCGCGCGCAATGCACACCTGGGCGGCAGCTACGAGATGCTGGACCGCCTCAGCGTCGACACGGCGGCGGCGAACCGCAGCAGACCGGGCAGCAGCGGCAGTGGCGCGAGCCAGAAGCCGGCTTGGTTTTGGGGCGGCGGCAGCCCGACCAAGAAGAAGTCGCAGTAGGCGCAAGCACGTGGCCCACACCACGGACGTCGCGTCTTGCACGGCAGCCAGGCTGCGTGACGGCGCCCGCGTTGCGTACTTGCAAGGCAGCACTTGCATCACCGCAACAGCCTCGCCTATGCGTCTCCGCCCCCTCTCGGCCTACACGGCACCGGCGCTCCGCACGCTCCGTCCTACACACCACCGACGCCGCGTCTCACGCAATACCTGCCGGCGCCGACGCTGCGACACTTGCACTACACGGCATCGCTGCAGCTCCAACCTTCGCCCGTCGCCACCCACTCGCTCTCGCACCGCGCGCCTCGCGCCGCCTCTCGCTCGCCTCTCACTGTATCTCTCGCGTCTCTCACTTGTACCATCTCCCTCGCATCATCTGTACAGTCTCCGCCACGGGTATCCATTCCATTCACGCCAGGTCGTTTACTAGATCACGCAGCAGCGGCCGGTCCTTGAGGATGGCGCGCGCACCGGCGGTGTGCGCAGGAGCGCTGCGCCGCGGCGTGCGCTTGAGTGCGGCCTTGGCTTGTGGAGAAGCGCTCGCCGGGCGCGTGTTTTCATCCTCGGCCTTGCGCTTGCGCAGCGCGGCCTCTGGGCTTGTCGAGGGAGCTGCCTTCCCGTCCTCCGGTCCTGCCATGCCGTCCTGGCGCTCGCCCGGCGTCGACCACACACCAGGCGGCGCGTGGTGCGTGCGGTGGGCATCGGGCGGCAGCGTCTGGCACCAGCCGCGCGCATCGAGCACGCCAAAGAGCTTGCGCAGCAGCGGCGCCTCGGCCAGCGTCGAGCGGCTGCCGACGAGGATGAGCTTGCGCTGGGCGCGCGTGAGGGCCACATTGATGCGGCGCGCGTCGCTCAGCAGCTCGCCGACGCCCGCCTCGCCGCTGCGCACAAACGAGATGATCACGACGGCCTTGTCGCGCCCCTGCGCGCGGTCGGCCGTGAGGATCTCGATGGCGCTGTTGCCGTGCAGCTTGGCCGCCAGCAGCCGGATCTGCTGGCGCAGCGGCGTGATCACGGCGATGTCGCTCGCGGATGTGCCGCCAAGCACCAGGGCCGCGGCGAGCTGTGCCACCAACGCACCCTCGACCTCGTTCTGCACGAGACTCTCGCCGACGCGTGTCTCGCGGCCGGGCACGCGGTCCGTGTCGAGAAAGACGACGCGGCAGGCAGGGTCCAACACCCGGTCGAGCCAGCACTCGGTGCATGCGCCTCCGGCGTGCATGGCTGTGAGGCTCGCGCTGCGTGCCGGCAGCTCGAGGCGCAAGTCTGCGACGGCGTCGGAGCCGCACCGCAGGCGCCCGTCGTACACGAGCTCGTTGCTCAGCGCCATGACGTCGGCGTTCATGCGGTACTGCCGCGTGAGGTAGACTTGCGAGGTTGGGTGCGCCTCGGCGAGCCGGCTGAAGAGGCTCACGTCGAGGCCACCCGCGCGCGCAGCAGCGTGGCGCACCAGCGGCGGCAGCTGGAGCGGGTCGCCGACGAGCACGAAGACATCGGCGAAGCGCAGCGGGCCGAGGCATGTCGGCAGCGTCACCTGGCTCGCCTCGTCGACGATGCAGTAGTCGAAGCGGCGCTTGGCGAACAGCGTGTGCCCGACGGAGAGGCACGTCGTGGCCACGACGGTGGGCGTCGTCATGCGCGCCTCGAGCTCCTCCGCCGTGCTCGACTCGGGCATGGCAAAGGCGCGCACGTCCGGGTGGATCTTCTCGACGCTCCCAAGCCGCAGCAGATCGACGTCGACGAGCTTGCGGCAGATCGTGTCGACGGCACTGTGCGTGTAGCTCGCGAGCAGCACCGTCTTGCCGCGGCGCACGAGCAGCTGGATGAGCTCGGCGATCGTCGTCGTCTTGCCCGTGCCTGGCATGCCGACCACCAGCGCATAGTCGCGCGCGGACAGCACATGCCGCATGGCGCGCCGCTGGTCGTCGTTGAGGTGCGCCGGCAGCGGCACGTAGTCGGGCAGCTCCATGAACCGCGGCGCACGCAGGTCGACGACGAGCTCGCGGCGCAGCGCATCGCCGCCGGCGTAGAAGAGGCGCGCGACGCTGTTGCGGATGCGCGCCATGCCGCCGCCGATGTCGTCACGGTCGATGCGGAAGAGCGGATGCGCGCCGTTCTGCGCCTTGGCCAGCGCCAGCGCGGGGTCGAGCGCGCGCTTGAGAGCGATGGTCACCGCAGAGCTGGACAGCTCGACGAGCGTCCCGGCGGCGAGCGCCGGCAGCGCCGGCTCGACGGACACGATTACCGTGTCGCCGACCTGGAGCAGGTTGCTGAGCGCCGCGGCGTGGTCGGCCAGACGTGCCGGGCCAGCAGCGCGCACGAAGCGGTACACATGCCGGCGCGCATCCGTCGGCGTCGCTGCGAGCTCGCCCTCGACGAGCTGCATGCCCGCCAGCGCACGCCCGTTGTGCTCGCGCGCCGCGCCCGTCATCGTCCAGAGCTCGCGCCGGAAGCGCACCACGTCGTCCTCCTCGAGACTCAGCAGGCGCTCCCAGTGCGCGAAGAACGCCGCGTGCTTGTCGCTGAGGTGCGCCGTCTTGCGCTCGTACAGGTCGGCAATCGCGCTTGGTGCCTCGGGGTCCTCGACGATGTCCTCGGCCCGGCGGTATAGCATGCACCCGTCGACGACGAAGCAGCGCGAGCATGTCCGCGCGTCGTCGATTGTGCGTGGCAGGAGAGCCGGAATGCCCTCTACAGCGGGGAGTGCTGGGGCATCCTCTCGCCGTGCCAGATAGCTCGCCAGCTCGTTGCGGCCTATCAGCAACGCGCGCACCTCATTGCGCACGCGGCGCACGCGGTGCAGCTCGCCCGTCCGCGAGTAGTACAGCAGCCCGGCGGCGCAGTCCACGCCGTAGCGCTCGCTCATCATGAGCATGTAGAGCATCGTCTGCGCGCGGTGCTCGAGCATGGCGAACGCGCGCCCGGTCTTGAGCTCGAGCGGCATGACGCTGGTGTAGGACGCAGGCGTGGCCAGGCTCTGCGTGCGGCGGATGCCCGGAGGGGCGGGAGCTGGGCCAGATGCGGCAGAGGCCGTGCGCCGCATGCCCTCGTCCTCGTCTGCCTCGACGACCTCGACCTCGACGGACACGTCCACGAAGCCCTTGAGCCCGTACATCGGCGACCAGATGTCCTCTTCCACCTCGAGGACACGCTTGACGCGCACGCGTGGCGGCACCCGGCAGCGCGTGTCGCACGCAATCGCTGCGGCCTGGATGGGGGTCAGCGCACTGCCGTGGCGCTATACCTCACTGCACTCACCTCAATCTCGCCGTGCGGATGCGCCAGGTACAGCTGCGCAAACTGCCCAAACGGCGCCGCACTCTCCATCAGCTGCTGCGCCGCGCGGCCCGTCTCGAGCCCGGCGCCGACGATGTCCTCGAGGTGCGCGGCGACGTGCGCATGCACCTGCTGCTCGACGAAGCCGCGAGCGAAGTTCGTCGGCGGCAGGCCGGCCCACTCGACGGGAAAGCACTCGGGCGCCGAGGCAAGTGGTGGAGTGTCTAGCACCGGCAGACCCTGCCCGGTCAGGCACGCCTGCAGCACTGCATGCAGCATCGCGCCCATCACCAGCGCCTCGGTGCTGCCGCCGTCGTCGGCGGCCGACGAGCGCAGGAGCGCCTGCACCAGCGGCTTGCGCGTGCACGTGCTCGTGCCCGAGATTGCCGTCGCCGAGAGCAGCACGTCGGGGTGCAGGATGAGCAGGTTATCCGCCGGTGTGGTGTGTTCTTCGCCGGCCAGCGCAGAGGACGCCACCGTCATGCGCGGCAGTGCCACGTGCTCGTCGACCTCGGCCCACAGGTCCGCATCGTTGTCGTCCCCGGCCGCCTTGGCCTCCCATGCACTCTCGCCCGCGGCCCACGTGCCGATGAGGTTGACGACATCCCCCACATGCACCAGCTCGGCCGTCGCGAGCCACTCGTCGCGCAGCACGACCTGCCGGCGCGTGCCGTGGCCGGCGCCCTTGGCCCGCTGCCCGTCGACGAGCTCGTGCCGGCCGAGCTCCTCCAGCTCGAGCACGACCTGGCGGCGGGCAGCGGCGCGCCGGACGGTCGCAGCCTTGACCATCGGCGCCGGGCCGCACGGCGGCTCGTACGAGCCAGGCAGCACGGCGAGCACGCGCGCGCGCACGTACTGCCGAGCGGTGGCCAGCGGCGGGTGGGCGGCTTGCGGCACTTGCTGCATCGAGGAGAGGAGGCCGGCGCCTCGGCGTTTCATCGCAGGCGGCGAGGAGCGAGGCGGCGGAATAGGCATCTCGCGGCGAGACTGAGCTGGCGAGGAGCTGCTCGGCGCCGGGAGTACCTCGCGGCGAGAAGGCAGTGACGACTCGCGCTTGACCGGCGGCAGCGTACGCCTCGAGCAGCTCGGCGCGTCTGGCGGCTCGAGCTCAATGTGCTGCACCGGCTCGAGCTTGACACGTGGCGCCAGGACTGGACCGCTCGAGCCCGCCTTCAGCTTGATGCGCTGCGTCTGCACCGCACGGCTGGAGCAGCGCGGCGACGGCTCGCGCTTGATGCGCAGCGCCGGCACCGCGCGTGGCGGGCTCTGGCTCGGCGCATCGTCGAACGCCGATGCGTCGAGCCCCGCCAGCAGGTCCGCCATGAAGCGCTCCTCGCTCGGGGCCGGCATGGCCGGTGGTGTGAGAGTGTGAGGGGTGCTGGTGGTGGAGAGAAAGGAAGCATGCCGCGCGGCGGCGGCGCGAGGTGTTGCTCTCGCGCGCGTCGCGTCGCCTGCACGCGTCAAAGTGCATTTCGCACGCTGTGCCGCCGCATCACCGTGACGGTGATGCGCCGCATCTTCCGTCCCCTCGCTGCGCTGCTCGACGCCTTCAGCAACGGGCATCGAGAGCCGGACTAGATAGATGGTGATTGCAGTCATCAGCAGCGTACGCTTGACATATTGGACAGGCCCGCGCCTTGCGGCTGCACATCTGCGATGACAGCAGAGCGTCGAGCGGGTGCGCAGAGACGTTCGCCGGAGATGGGACGAGGCCAGGCGCATGCATGGATGCCAGAGCGTGCGAGCCCGTCCGCGACATGCAGCCTGCCGTCGAGCCAGCAGCAAGAGCATCAGGGCCAGAGCGAGCTGCGCCGGCCCAGCGCAGCGCCGATGCGTGTGCTCGAGGCGATCTCGTTCGCTGGCGGCTGGCGGCCACGTGCCCACGACGTCGAAGCCGGCGGCTCGGCAAGGCGCACGTCTCATGCATTGCGTAGATCCCTCGGCGAGATCGCCGATGGGCCGTCAGATGCATCCGCGAGCGTCAAGGGGCGTGCGGGCGCGTGTGGGGAAGCAGCTGCCTGTGCCGCGCCGGAGTTGCGCGGCAGGCGTACCGCGAGGGGCGCCACGGCACGGGGCGAATGGCGCAGCGCCGTGGCACCCGACTCGCGGCTTCGGCGGCGGAGGAGCGGCGCTGCAGCCGCTCAGAAGGCACCGCGAGGGGCGCTGCTCGGACGCTGAGACGGCGCTCAGATCGGCTCTGCCACGCTGCGCTGGCGTGCGGCACGCTCGGACCGTTCCTGACGTGGGCCGGCGGCACGAGACGGCACGGGCTGCTCTGCCGCCGGTTCGGCCGCCGTGCCGTGCTCGCTGCGGCAGCATCAGCATCGCAGATGCTCCGTGCCTCCACCTCGCGAGGACGCTGCGTCGCTCTGGGGTACAAGAGGCCAGCCCTTCGAGCGAGAAGGAGGCTCGTCCCCCACACTCACCGCCTCAAGCCCTCAACAGTCGCCGCCTCGCTCGCCTTGCATACCCCGCCTCGACCCGCAACCCTCTCTCTCGCCGCCATGCAGCTCACCACGCTCCTCGCTCTCCTCGGCGTCGCCACGCTGGCCGCCGCCTACGACCCCGTGTACGTCAAGTACCCGAGCGGCTACAACGTCGACTCGTACTGCAAGGCCTGGCGCTGCGCGTGAGTCCGAGTTCCCGCGATGCATGAGTCGACAACGCCCGCTCACCCTACCTCCCCCTCCTGCCCAGCTGCGTCAACTACGTGCCGCAGGACACGGGCCTCGAGTTCCGCAGCTTCGACTGCCGCCCGCCCAAGCTGGCGCGCCAGCAGGGCCAGGTCATCGCCGCCTGCCACTTTGTGCACACCAACGGCGCGCAGCCGGAGGAGGTGTGAGTCGGCCCGATACTCGGCGGCCCCGCACGTTCGCTGACGACGCATCACAGCGACCCCAACAAGCACATCGCTGCTGCGACGGGCGGCACCATCGTGTAGAGCGACAGTGTGTGTGGCTTGACGACCTGTTCTCAATGTACATAAGCTTCTCGCATTGCTGCAGAGAGTCAGCGTGCTCCGAGTGACGACGAACTCTGAGCAGGAGACGTCCGCGCTCGATGTGCAGCTGTGCGTCAAAGCACAGTGCGCGGCGAGAAAGGGCTTCATTGCTGGGCCGGCATGGATGCAAGCTCGAGAGCGGTGAAGGTGACGGAACGAGGCAGTGCCGAATCGAGAAAGGAGTGTGCGCCGGGCCGTGCGCCGGGCCGTGCGAAGGTCGTGCGAGATGCTGGCGGCGAATCATGTGTCTGGTACTGTGCCGAATCATCAGCCGCGGGAGCAACGACGAGCACACAGAGCCCTCACCTCAGCGCTTCACTCTTACTCGTAGCGCGTTTCGTCAAGAACGAGCGTGCCGTCGGTGCGCAGCTCCGAAGATCCCCAGCCAGCGAGCCAGGTCTTGTCCTGAGAGACGAGTGAGCGAAGCCAATGGCAGTCTGCGCGCGCACACTTACCTTGTGCCAGCCCACGGCATTGTACTTCTGTAGAACGAAATACTGTGAGCCTAGACTGACCTTCGCGCGGCATAGCTTACCTTGTTCGCGTGCTTGGCATAGAAGTAGTAGTTGCGCCTGTGCAACGGAGGCGCGCTGTCAGTCAGACAGGCTGATACAGAGAGGGATCATTTCTACACCGCTCCGCGAGCCGGACTGGCCTGACGTCCCTCTCAGATACAGTCGTACTCACAGGAACTGCTCGACCGTGACGGGCTCGTTCGACGAGTTGTGGATCTCAACCGATGCTCCTCGCTTTGCGATGCCCAAATTTTTAGTCTTCAGAGGAGAGCGCTGATGACAGGCGTCGTGAGCGAGGTGACTCAGGCGCTGGGTGTCAGGCGCTGACCCACCGGGTCATGCATGATCAAGTGGGAAACGCTGTCAAACACTCGGCGTCAGCTGTACTTATCCCCTCTCGCACATACGAGATAGAGCTCACGGAGGATCGGTGGCGTTCTCCTTGATGACCGCCAGCTTGTGAAGGTAGATCAAGTGGTCAAGGCCGTATGACTCCGGCTTATAAGTGCTGACCCAGTGCTCCTCGAACTCGTTGGTCGTGATGGTGACTGTCTGTTCAAGCAGCCGGTGCAGACGGACCGGTCTGACGCTCGAGCCCCATCCGCCCCACGGGACGTCCAGGCGCTCGCTGAGGAGCCTGACCTCCTGAGGGGTCCAGTGATCAGCGTTGCATCTGGCGCGTGTCTCACGTGGCGAGCGATGCTCAGTACGTACCTCGAAAGAGTCACCCTTGGACTTAGCCTCGACCGCGGCAATCGTAGCACGGTCGGCATCGAGACTGGCCTGGCACTTGCGCAGGAGCGCCACGTCGACCTCCTTGACGCGGAAGAGCTGGCTGTCAAGTGCGGCGCTCTCGACGATAAGATTCTTCACCTGCGTGCAGGTGCGCTGCAGCGAAGCATCAGCAAGAGAAAATGTAGCTGTCGTGCGTGGCGGTGACTCTGCGACGCACCTGGAGCTGCTTGAGCGACTCGTAGGTGCAGCGCGTGAAGATCTCGAGCTGAATCTCGACGGGCAGAGCGACGAGCGAGAGCATGGTGCTGGCGGAAATGGTGTGGAGAGAGTACGTGGTGGGGGAGTTTGGTGCACGATGGGCGCGATGTGGTGGTGCAGAAGAGAGAGAGGGCAGAGGGCGCGGCGGCACGCTGTGCTGCGCCGCGGCTGCGCCGCGTCGCGCCCGTGCGCCGCGGGACAGCCCCTGTCGCCGGGTGACGAGTCCTCGGTGCTTTTCGCAGGGCAAGGTCGCTGCTCTCCACCCACTGCTCGCTCCATAGCGCAGTGCTGTGTGAGGCATATGGAGCAGCAAAGGTTCCGAGTCTGGACGAGCCTCGGCCTAGAGCGCTTGAGAGCTCGCGGACAGAAACGCTCGCAGACCTTCAAGTCTGTCAGCGCAGCGCTGTCTGGGCCACATATCTGAGCGAACGAGGAACAAAGCAGACATGAGAGCGACGCAGTACAGGAGCGGTAGCTGCGAGCAAGGGATGGGCGTTCTTGTAGCGGATCAGGCACGATGCATTGGGACGGGCTCGATGCGCGCATGGCGAAGCGGTACTGCTCGCCGAGCCTCAGCACCGAGCTGCGCCAGTGCCGCAGACAACCAAATGCGGATCTCAGAGCCCACTCGCTCGCTGGTGAGAGCATATATCTGAGACTTCAGCCTGCACAGCGGTCGAGTGAGGATGCCGTGGAGGGGAAGCGAGCCTGGCCAGGACGCAGCAGGTGGCTCGTGCCCGTGAGCGCGGGCGCTCTCGCGAGGCCAGGATGTGACACCGCATCAGCACCACGCCGCCGAGTCGCACCGCCTGTCGGCTACTAGACCCAGTGCTGCGGGTGCTACGACATCGCTGCTTCAGACAGCTGCGTTCGCCGCGGCGTCAGACAGTGGCTTCGCTAGAAGATTGCGCTCATGCATTGCAGGCAGTGCATGAGATGGCGACACGATGCGGATCACTCCATGTTGCTGTTGTTCTCGTTCACGCCCTCGTCTTTGCGCGCTCCGATGCCCAGCTCAACGCTATTGTCCTCGCGGATCTCTTGCGATGACCAGTGCGTGAGCGTGCGATCAGAGCTTTCGTATCCAGAGCTGTCCCACTTGTCGTTCTCAGCCCGGAGGAGCTGAAGCGGGGGGTGAGTTGCGGAAGGGGCCGTGTGGGAGAACGCAACGCACCTGGCAAGTGGCGGAGGAGTAGAGCTGCCAGGCGCGCCTGCCGGAAGAGTGTCAGCATACGTCAACAATGGCGATGCCGTGCGCCCGCACAACACAGTCGCTCACAGCACTTGCGCCACGGTGACTGGCTCGCCGTTGGCATTTGAGACCGTGCTCTTGCCGTGGTCCGCCAGACGTCTTTCTTATGTCTCATGAACCGTCTCAACGTGCCAATTCACCACCACAGCGCCTGCTCGCTGTACAAAGAAGGATCAGACCTCCTGGTGCGAGTCTCGCGTAAGCGTGGTGTACAGCTCACAATGTCGACCAGATGCAGAGTCGAGACACTGCCGCGTGAGACCGTCAGCTGGTGATTTGCGGCATCTGGCAAAGATGTGAACCGCGAACGTACGGCGGCTCGGTAGCATTCTCGTTGCTTGCGGCCAAGAGCTGGATGGGGATGGACTTGTCCACCATCTGCATCACCGAGCCCGACATCTGCTCGCACCAGTCAGGCTGAACCGGCCAAGACCCATCCCAGACAAGCTTGTATTCGCGATACCGCCTCATCCCGCGCCAGTATACTTCTGCAAACTCCCGTATTTCGCCAAAGGAGAGCGTGATTGATTGGAGCAGCGGGTGCAGCTCGAAAGGACGATGCACTGGCTTTGCACCGACCTTTGCTCTTGCTAAGGCGCGCGCGCGCGCGATGGCGTCGGGGTCGACGGGACGCCGGCGGAAGAGGTAGGCGTCGAGGGAGCAATGGGCAAGAGTATCACGCATGCGTGTGCAGGTGCTCTGTTCTCGACGCAGAGTCAGCTAGGTGCGCTGAGGCGTGTTTGCGCTGCGCTTCACTTCGAGCTTCTTGAGTGAGCCGTAAGTGCAGTGGGTGAGGATGCGAAGCTGCGCCTCGGGCGAGAGCGCAAAGAAAACGAAGGCCATGCTGGCAAACGAGGCGTGAAGCGGCGCGGTGTGAAGGGTTGTGATGCGGGAGCAGGCGGAGCAGACAGGCCGAGGCAAAGCGGGCTGAGGCGAGGCGGTGCAGGGTGCGGGTGATGGTGGTTGGGAGCAGCAAGCGGCAGCAGCGGCGCGACGTGAGGACATCTTGCGCGCTGCGCCGCCGCGCACGGCCCCCCCCCCGCCGCACGTCACGACGCCACACAGCGCAGCTCGCAGCTCGCAGTCACGGTACTCTGACTCTGCCTCACCAAGCGCCGCAGCCGCTTCCGCCCCGTCCACCTGTCCTCCGCTGCGACCGCAGCCCCGGCGGAGAAGCGCTGGCGTTTGCCGCGCACACGTCTGCTGCCGGATGCCGCGACGGTCCTACTCCAACTGCTCGTGGAACAGCAAAGTACCCCCGACCCGCCAGCGCGAGTCGCCAAGCAGACGAGAGCACGCGGAGCAGAGCACTGCTCCGCGCTTCAGCGCCACTGCCTTCGCACCCGCTTCTTCGCAAGCTCAGTCTCACTTCAACCCTCGGATGCATACAGCGCATGAGAATGTGCCGAACGCCTCAGCGATGCATTCGCGCAAAGATTGGCAGCGCTGCTCGCCGTTTCAGTCCTCCTCGTCCGAGTCGGTGAGGCGTGCAGGAGCTTCCAGTGCCACAACCACAGCGCCCGGCATATGCGTCGCCCAGCCAGACCATGCGCTCAGCTGCCGCGGAAAATTCGGCTCGCAGATGTTTTCCGGGCCGAAGTTCTGACGGTGCGTTCGTGAGCCCGAAGCTTCGCGCTCGTGAGCACTGCCCTCACAAGAATTGTGTTACTGGCATGGTGACAGTATGCCCTTCTGTGGAACATCGCGTCAGCAATGAGCAGCCTGTGAAGGACGCGAGAGCTATTGTGCCTCAGGACATCATCCGATGCAGCTGTCTCACACTCACACGACTTGCTCGACAGTCACCGGAGTAAAGTCGTCCTCGCTCTCGATGAGGACGCCGCTGGTTTCGAAGACACCACTAGGCAAACCAGGAGCCTCAACCAACGTGCTGATGTCGTCAAAGTATGTATCGCGCGCGTGGACGACGTGGCGAAACCCTGCCTGCTGATGAGGAGCGTCAGGCGTGCATTCTGGGTCCCATGAGCGCTGACGAGGCGACCTACCGTGTCGGAGAGCGTGCAGCGCGTCACGCTATTGATATCTCAGCGCACTGTGCGAGTCAAGTCGAGGCACGGATCACTCACGGCGGCTCCGTTGCGTTCTCGAACATCGCCGCTAGCTCCACGAGATACACGCCACCGTCCTGCTCGTCTCTGCTGCCCTCGCCGTTCCTTGCCGGTCCTGCCTCGATCTGATGCGCGCCCGTACGCTTCAGGCGGGCGCACCCGTAATCCTGGCCCCACCAGACGTTCTCGGGGATCATCTGGAGCATGGAATGGATTAGGATGATCTCCGATGACTCGCGCTGAGGCACATCGTCAAATGGCGGCGATCCGCCAACCCATGCTTGCATGGCGGCGTCGAAATAGCCGCCGCGGCTTTTGCCGTCAAACGTACGCTTCCAGCCGTCCATGTCGACGACACGTGTGCGAAACAGCGCGGCGTCGAGCGCGCGATGCTGGCTGAGGCCGCGCATCGCCGTGCAGGTGCTCTGGAGCGTGAAGTCAGCACGGGTGCAGGTCAGGTCTGTGTGCGGGCGCAGCACGCACCGCAAAGTGCTTGAGCGAGGCGTAGGTGCAGTGCGTCAACACCATGAGCTGCAGCTCGCGCGGGAGCTCGAGGAATGCAAACGACAGCGACATGGCGGGCTGTGGTGGTGGGAGGGAGGGACGACGGCGGCGGCACAGGCGCGCGCTCGAGGTGCGCCCGGCGAGCACGGGCCGCTCGCAGAGCGACATGCGCTACGTAAGCGTGAGCGGCTCGACAGCGAGCGGCCTGCTCCACGGCCGCGCTGCGTGAGCGGCCGATTGTGCCGAGGCGCCGAGCGCTGCCTGCGGCTGCGGAGCGGCGGCGGTGCGCGGGCGCAGCTCGATTCAGATTGCCGCTCTGGGCTACGGCGTGGTGTTGTTCTCGCCGCCATGCGTGGGAGCGGCCGCACCTGCCGCTTCGAGCGAGCTGGACACGCGACGCGCCGCGGACGCGCCCCTGGCGCCTGGGCGTGACGGCCACGAGCGCGCCGCACGCCGTGCGTGCCGCCCGCTGCGCTCCGCTGTGCGCTGTGCCGCGATGCTTCGTCGATCGGCATGCTCGAACAACGCAGCCAGAGGCGCCGCTGCCTGCCTTGAGAGGTATCTGCTCAGCAGCCTTGCTCTAACTGCGCCGTGCCTGCCGTATCGCAGTGCCGCAGGTGCGTCGCAGCGGCAGTGCGGCGTGTTACGTAAGACCGCTCCTCGCACGGCTGGCGAGCGTGGAGCAGGCCGCGCTGCTGCTTCCTTCCCCTCCACGCAACCTCGACTCACGGCCGCACGCCCTGCCGAGGCTGGACACACGCATCGCAATGGATGCCGCCGGGCAGCCGGCCGACGCCGCGACGCTCAACGGCCTGCTGCGCTCCTTCAACGGGCCGCAGCTGCTCGCCGTGTCGGACACGCTGGAGCGTGAGCGTCTCGCGAAGCGTGCCGGGCGGCGCCGCTGATGTGCGTCTTCACAGACGGCCGTGGCCTGGCGCTGCAGCAGATGGTGCCGCCAGCGACGAGCCTGCTACGCCTGGCGCCGGCGGCGCTGCTGCACGCCCGCAGCGCGCGGATATGGCTCGATGCGCGCCTGCTGCCGGCGCCGGCGCAGCCCGCACACCCAGCCAACCACCTCACGGTGCCGCCCGTGCTGCGGCCAGACGATGCGCCGCAGCTGCCGCTCTCGAGCCACCAGGCGCTGGCACTGCTGCTGGCCATGTGGCGCTGCTCGAGCGGCGCGGATTCGGATACAGCCGCGAGCGGCGAGGCGTTCAACCTCGACGCCTTTCTGCGAACGACGCCGCGGTCCTACGACACGGTGCCGCTGTCGTGGACGCTCGGTGACGCCACCAGCTTCGCCGACGAGCTGCTGGCGGCGCTGTCGCCGCATGTGCGGACGCAGTGTGCCGCCGTGCAGGCACGCTTCGAGCGCGACTGGGCTGCCGTCGACCACGCTCGAGTTAGTAGAATGTGCCAAGTGTGCAGTGACGTGCTGACGGGCTCGCAGCGACACAGCCCACACCTGCTGCAGCCGCGTGTGCCGCTCGCGCCCACGAGCATCGCCGATCCGGCGACGTTCTCGCGCGCCGACTATCTCTGGGGCTGGCTGAGTGGTGCGTACGTACGATCAGGCAGCCTTGACTCGCGCTGATCCGCTCTCAGTCAACTCGTGCGCTGCGCCTGCACGCTTCGTGTGCCGCACTGACGTTGCTCCCTCAGACGCTGCCTGCACCTGCCGCTCGGCCTCAAGCCGCACGGCGACAACCTCACGCTGGCGGTGCGTAGACTCCGAGCCGCCAGTGCTGGTGCTGACCGTTCCGCAGCCGCTACTCGACATGGCGAACCACACCTGCGATGCGCGGCAGGAGTGCAGCGTGCGGCACACGCCGCTCGGCGGCCTCGAGCTCGTCTCGCCGCCCAAGACGCGGCGGGCCGAGGCGCTCGCGGCCGGCGCCGAGGTGTGCATCACGTACGGCGCGCACTCGTCTGGCGTGAGTGCAGCGCGTGGCGCTCGTACGGCGTGTGTGCGCTCGGCACCAGCTGAACACCACTGCGCAGACGCTGCTGTCTGAGTACGGCTTTGTGCTTGCGCGCGAGCGGCCGCCGGACGCTGCCGAGCCGCCCGAGTGGACCGACAGCCCGTACGCCGAGGTCAACGTGGACGCCGCTGTGATCGCGCTGCTGGCGGCGCAGGGCGAGCTCGGCGCACGCAAGCGTGAGGTGCTGCAGGAGCGCGGCTACTGGCTGTGAGGCACGAGGTGGCACATGCGATGCGACGCTCCATGCTGATTCCCGCAGCGACTACACTCTCCACCCGTCGCCGGCGCCGGCGCATCCGTCGCACCGCCTCGTGCCTGCGCTGCGGCTGCTCGCGCTGCCGGAGCTGCCGGCGTCGCTGGAGAACACGCAGCACACGGCGTACCCACACACGCGCGCTGCTCCGCCGCCTGCGCCAGCATCAGCCGCCGCAGACGGCATGCGCGCCTGGGATGCCACGCTACTGGGCCTGCGCGAGCGCGTCGACGCTGCCAACGAGACGGCGGCGCGAGCGCTGCTGCGGCGCATCTGTGAGGAGTTCGACGCCGACGGCCGTGCGCGGCTGGCACGCCTCGATGCGCAGCCGCCGGAGATGCCCGCTGCCCGGCAGATGATACGTGCGCTGGCGCACGAGGAGCTGCGCGTCGTGCGCCGTGTGCTCTCGGCGCTGGATGCCGGTGTGTCCTGGTAGACTGCAACACATACCCTCGGCATAGCATCGCATTGCTCCTCCCCTCTCCCAGTGTGCCCTGGCTGGCGGCGCGCCTCACTTCTTCTTGGCGCGCAGAGCGTCGGCGGCGGCCTTCTTGATGGCAGCCTCCTCCTTCTGCTTCTTCTGGAAGGCCAGGTCCTGCGAGGGGCGTCAGAGCAGCGCATACATGCAGCCCGCGGCGCAGCCTCACGTCGTCGTCGAGCTCCTTGATCTGCTTCTTGGGCGCCTTCAGCGGCTTGGCTGTGGCAGGCATTCTGGTCAGCGGCAGGTCCCAGCGACGGCGCAGCCGCCGCGACGCACCCTTGCCTCCTTGACGGCCGCTCATGTTGGGTGTGCGGTGGTGTGGTGGTGGTGAGGGGCGAGGGCAGCGGGCGCAGCGGCGCGGCCGCCTCTGCGCTGCGCTGCACGTGCTGCGTGCGGGACTCGGGAGTGCTGCATGCGCGTGCCTCGCTGCACTCGACTGACTCCACCTCGCTGCCTCGCTCCTCACCACCTCAACCCTGCCCGATGCGAGCCGTGCTGCAGCGCGTCAAGAGCGCCGCCGTGCACGTCGATGGCGCGTGTGTCTCCCAGATCGGTGCGTGCCGCCCGCGCCGCGCCTGAGCACGGCTGACGTGCCGCAGGGCCCGGCCTGCTGGTGCTGCTCGGCATCTCGGTCGGTGCGTCGAGCCGCGGGGCCGCCTCGCCGCACCGCTGACCCCACGGCAGACGACACGGCCGCCGAGATCGAGCCGCTGTGCCGCAAGCTGCTGGGCACGCGTCTGTGGGACGAGGGTGAGCGGGCATGGCGCGTGGCGCTGCCGCAGCTCGGCGGCGAGCTGCTGCTCGTCTCGCAGTTTACACTGCATGCGCGGCTGAGCAAGGGCACGAAGCCGGACTTCCACCGCAGCAGTGAGTGGCCACGGCTCCGGTGGATGCGCCTTGGCTCACTCTTACAGTGAACGGCGGACCGGCGCGCGAGCTGTACGACGAGACGCTGGCGCGCCTGCGCGCGATGTACGTGCCCGAGCGCATCAAGGGTGGGTGCTGGCCACGCCTGCCGAGCCGCCGCTGACGCTCGCGCAGAGGGCGCCTTCGGCGCGATGATGGACGTCAGCCTCGTCAACGACGGGCCCGTCACGCTGAGTGAGTGGCGCGCAGGCGCGGCATACACGCGCTCACACACGCGCAGTCATCGACACGGCAGACAAGAAGGCGGCGCAATGATGCATTGTCTACACGCTCATGCTCATCTTGATGCCCGCGTGCGGCTCGTAGCCGTCGACGGCAAAGTCGTCGGGCGTGAAGCCGTCGATGTCGTCGACTGCCCGCGTGAAGCGCAGCGTCGGGAATGCGCGCGGCGTGCGCTCGAGCTGGACTGCAGAGGGTGTCAGACGTGCGCTGCTGCAGCACTTGCCCGGCCACCTCACCCTTGAGCGGCTCGACATGGTCGCGGTACACGTGCGCATCGCCCATGGCCAGCGTGAGGCTGTGCGCCTCGCAGCCCGTGACGTGCGCGATCATGTGCGTGAGCAGCGCGTACGAGGCAATGTTGAACGGCACGCCGAGGCCGAGGTCGCACGAGCGCTGGTACATCTGGCAGCTCAGCTGCGGGCGGGCGTCGAGCGTCGCGGGCTGCGCCACGAAGAACTGGCAGAACATGTGGCACGGCGGCAGCGCCATGACGGGCAGGTCTGCGAGGAAGCGTCAGGGCCAGGCGTGTCACGAGCGCCAGGTGCGGCAGGTGCGGCAGGTGCGGCCGCGGGGCAGTCTGGCCCTGCACTGCATGCCATGCTACTCACCCTTGGGGTTCCACGCGCTGAGGATGATGCGCCGGTCCGTCGGCTCGTGCTTGATCTTGCGCACGACCTCCGCCAGCTGGTCGACGCCCTTGCCCGTGTAGTCGGCGTCGGCGTCGGTGTACTCGGCGCCAAAGTGCCGCCACTGGAAGCCGTACACGGGGCCGAGGTCGCCCTCGCGGCGGTGGCCGAGCCCGCGCGACGCAAGAAACGCCGCCGAGCCGTTGCCGTCCCAGATGTGCACGTTGCGGTCGCTCAGCAGCTGGCGGAGTGTGAGTGCCACAGCATGCCGGCGCCACTGCCGGGCGACTCACCTTGGCGTCCGTCTTGCCGGCGACGAACCACAGCAGCTCCTCGAGCACGCCGCGCAGGAAGACGCGCTTCGTCGTCAGCAGCGGCAGCGTGCCGCCGGCGAGGCTGAACGTGAGGCCGGGCTGCGGCGCGAAGAGCGCCAGCGTGCCGGTGCCCGTGCGGTCGGGCCGTGTCTCGCCGGAGGCGATGACGCGGCGCACGAGGGCGAGGTACTGCAGCTCTTCGTGCTGCGCCACGACCTGTGCGACTTTCTGCGGCGCGTCCACCGGCTGCGGACGCGGGCCGGTCTTGCTCGAGAACATGCCTGCGAGTGTCGGCTCGGTGAACGAGCGGTGTGCGTACGAGAGCACGGCGACGCCGCCGGCGTCCATCTCGAAGAGGCGGCCGTTGGTCAGCGGCAGGCCGAGCCAGCGCGCGATGAAGCAGCTGAATAGTGTGTCAGCGGCGTGCCAATTGCGGACACACGCGCGTGGTACACGACATGCATACGCGACGTCGAGCGCGACACTCGGCAAGGCGCAGAGCGGCCTCTTGACGAGCGCCGGGCCTGGCGGCATGCCGTGACAGCACGGTGCGGACGTGGCAGGCCACTGCGAGGTCTGCCTCACTCGGCCAGGCGTATGGCCGTGCGAGCAATCGCTCCCTCGAAGTCGCCGGCACCTTGCTGGCCAGGCCGAGCCGCACCGCATCGCTGCGCCAGACCTCGCGACTCGCACCGCACTGCCGACTGGCTCTGCGACACCCAGGCCAGCAGTCACGGCGACGTCGTACGGCTAGCGCCGCACCGCACTGCCTGTCGCACTAAGGGCGGCCGCCGTGCTTGCGCTCGCTGCCACGTCGCCACGGCCCGCTGCCGCTCGCCTCGCCCAGCTCGCAACGCCACACTGCACTGCATCGCCTGTCCCTCTTCGCACCACACCGCACCTCGCACGGCTCCCACTCACCGGTTGTAGTGCCCGTGCGCAACCACGACGATGTCGCCGCCTCGCCGCACGACCTCGTCGTCGTGCGTCGTCTCGGGATGCCCCTCAATCACGGCCTGCTGCAGCGCACGGATGCGTGCAATGACGCCGTCGACGCGCGCCGTCATGTGCTCCGCCGACTCGCCCTGTGCAAAGACGGGCTCAGCGTTGCAGCTGTGGCAGCATCACACATGCACGCACCGGCAGGTCCGCGTCCGTCGGGTGGTCCGGCGTGCCGTCGACCCAGATGTCCCAGCCAGGGTGCTTGGCGCGGATCTCGTGTGTCTGCCGCGCGAGAGCTCAGCACAGAGGCGTGCTGTGCAGGCCATGCTCGCCACTCACGAGCAGCCCCTCGTACGCGCCATAGTCCCACTCGCGGCACTCCTGCAGCACCTCCATCGGCACGACCTGCGCGCGCTCGTCGGCACTCAGGTGCTCGAGCATGATGCCGAGCGTCGCCTGGCTGCGCCGCCGCGGGCTGACGAAGATGTGCGACACGCGGCGGGCGTCGAGGAAGTTGCCGGCGCCCACGAACGTCGGCGCCAGCGCCCGCATCTGCGCCTCGCCGCGCGCCGTCAGCGCCAGCTCGGTGCGCCCCGTGTGCTGCCCCGACAGCGACCACGCCGTCTCGCCGTGGCGCGCGAGGATCACGCGCGGCATGGGTGGCGGCGCCATCGTGCAGCGTCAGGTGTGGAGCAGAAGGAGAGGTGCGGCAGAGCAGGCCGACTGCGAGCGCTGTGCGGCGACGAAGTGGACTGAGGGCCAGCGAGGCGAAGAGGTGTGCAGATAATGCAGAGTCGTGAGCGACGAGGAGAGGTGTCGGCGGGCTGGAGCTGAGGCAGGCTGGCGAGAATGTGGACGGAGGGAGCGAGGCAAGAAGGTCGAGAGACGCGCGGCGCTCCTCCGCTCGCTCAGGGCACCGGCGCGCGTCGCGAAGCGTGGGAACGTGGAGCGCCGCGTGAGCAGCGGCCGCCGCCGACGGCGAAGACGAGCGCAGTCATCACCAGGTGCAGCGTCGGCAGGCGCACGGCCTGTCTCCTTCAGTGCTGAGACCTGACGTGCTGCAGGTCGCAGCGAGGGAGAAGAGAGCGCAGGCGGCACGCGCCTCGTGCAAATGCGCGAAGGCGTAGGCACGGTGCGCGTCAAACAAAAGGTGCGACGAGCGGCGGGCGGTGAGAAGCGAGGCTCAAGCTTCGTCCAGTCGATGGCGAACGGCTCGCGAAGTCTGCTTGAGGCACTCAGTGCTCGCTAGATCGTATGTAGAGCTCATAGAAGAATTATGACTGCAAAAGCAAGAGCATTAAGCAAGATGCAAGGGCAGCGCAAGCGAGGAGACGCCAATTGGAAGGCGCGCCACGCGCAGCTTCGCGAGCGCGAGCGCGGCGCAGGGGGTGTCTTCGGGCCATGTGTTGTCAGAGGGGAGAAGGCTGTGCACGCAGGCACAGAGCATGTACACAATGACCTCAATCTGCTGAGGAGAATGGCGGGTGCAGCAGCAAAAAGGTGCCTGCTCGACCGGAAGGAGGCAAAAAGAACTGACGACTGTGGGACTCGAACCCACGCCCCGAAGGACCGCCGGGTGATTGCTCAACCTGAAGACGGCGGATTAAGCCACTTTCCTAAGTCGCCTGTCTTGTTGGAGAGCAGAATCTGAGAAGCATCCATGAACCTCAGGCACGGATCATGGTCTGTCTGGGCCTGACGCACTGAAGCATGGGGAATTTAGGTGGGCAGTGGCATTGACCTGACAGCTTCTTGAGCATGTGCAGGCAGCTATGGTGCTTGATAAGCTTGAAGCAGGCTGCCAACCAGGCAGAGTGCAGTGGTCTTGCTGTAGGTCTGGGCCTGCAGGTAGAAGATGCCTGACACATGCGTCAAGGAGCAAGGCAGGGCTGGAAGAGCACTGTCTTCCTCAAGGGAAGGCTGCACTGCAGGAAGATACGTTTGCAGTTGTTGACCTGGTGCTGCAGCTTGTTGTTGTTGCTGACAGCACTGCTGATGGCCTTGATGGCCCTCTGCAGCGCACTGCACATCTGCTTGCGCTTGTTGCACATAGAGGTCAGATTGTTCTGCAGCTGCGCTTGCTCAAGGTGCAGCGGCTCATGCTTGCAGGCAGAGTAGCTGGCAGCCTGGCTGGCGCATTGCAGAGCTAGAGAAGGATGCAAGGCCTGGGCCCCTTGTTGAGGAGACCATTGCCAATGGCATGGCCTGCATCCAAGCCACTGAGTGTCCACAGCATGCTGGTGCATCACAAGCCTCTTGGTTCTTTCTCTGCGCAGATGAAGGCACATGTCTGGCATTAGCCTTTGCGCTTCAAGCGCAAATCTGAACCCTTGTCTAATCACAAAGCCATCTGGAGAACATGAGGAGGAAGGAGATGCTTGCTGTCTTCCAGAGCTGGTGTTGGCTTACTACTTAGCAGGTACATTGCAGAGCTCCTCCTTCTGCAGCCGCCATGACGTCAGTCTCACCAAACCAACAGAAGAGGGTTAGGAGATGCTCTTTGCCATCCACAGCCTACAAAGTTGTTTTCAGCTTCTTTTGCAGCTGTTCAGCCATGGCTGCAGAACTCATCTGTACCAGGCCTGTGCCTGTGCTTCTCACACTGTAAGCCAAAGTCTTAGCAATGCAATACTGACCTGCTGCCTCTGCAGGAGCTGGGCAGCTGCTGACACCCCTATTGCTCACATCTGTCAACAAATACATCACAATTTTGCTGCCTGCTGCACACTGTTTTGTCCCCACAAGGTGAGAGGTCTTCTCTTTCTCTTGACAGCAGCACAGTGAAAGAGGTGTACAGCAAAGAAGTAGCCTGATGTAAGACACAAGGCCACATTGGCGCCAGGCTTGTCTTCTTGATCAGCTGCTGAGGGGGCAGGCTGAGGCTTTTGGACACACCACTGCAATTGTGCATGATACAGCTGGGCTCCGCAGGCCAGAGCTGGCTGCAGTGAGGCAGAAGAGTGCCAAGCTTAAGCTGCTGGCCAGCGGCAAAGCTGGGCGCGGCGCAGGAGCGAGCTGTGGGCCCTTTTCGCGCAAAAAGGAGCTCACCGGCGCGGAGCAAAAAGATTTGACGACAGTGGGACTCGAACCCACGCCCCGAAGGACTGCGGATGTCTTTGGACAAGAAACCTTAACACAGCGCCGTAACCACTTGGCTATGTCGCCTTATTTGATGGAAGAGCTGCAGTGGGTTGCGCACACAAGGACAGAACATGTGACTGCCGCCCAGGCAGGTCACACAGCCAACTGCCAGGTCTGACACAGCTCACATTGCACCTGCAGGGCATGGCGCTGACCAGCATACTTGTGCACTTTAGACGGCCAGCAGACTGGCTTGCCGCACGGCCTGATATGTGCAGCAGCTGGCCTGCATGCTTGCACACTTGTCAAGCTCTCCTCATGGCTGCATGCAGCACCAGCTCTGCTTGGCCAGGCGTCTGGCCAGGCATCTGTGCCAGCGCCAGGTTTGTGCACCAGGTTGGGTCAAGGAAGTGGCTGTGTGCTGGCTACAGGACTGCTACACAGTTTCTGTGGTATGCATACTGGATTGTCAGGTGCAAGCGCCAGCACTGACACCCCTTGACCTGCAGCACTTGTGCTGCGCAAGTTGGCAGAGAGGGTGCTGGGCACCTTGCTGTGCCTCAATTGCATGATCTCCCTGTCAACGCAGAGCATAATGGCTGCCCTTGTCAGCATGCCCAATGCGCTGAGTACTAATGCCCTTTGGGCTGCCTCAGAGCTGCATGAGTCTCCAGGCATGCAGCAGAAGCCAGTCTGCCATCTGATGCCTAGCCTTGAGGGCTTTGTGGCTGCAACACCATCAATGTGTACAGCTCAATTCTGCTGCATGCGCCAGAGTGGAATCTTGGGTGCTGCTGGACCAACAACCCTGCACAGCCATCATAGAAGTACTGCAACATGTTTGTCATTCTAGAAGAGGTGCCAGATCTGCCAGCAAAGCGTGTTGTAGGCAGAGCTGTAGTTTGGTTGACCATGCTGTCAAACTAATCAGGACGTGCTCTGCTGTTGGGCTTGAGCTGCAGGTCTTGAGCTCAATCAGAGGACTGTCAATGACCAATAGGACCAGGTCAAGGCCCTCTTCCCAGCAAAGGAAGGCCTCAATAGCCTCAGCAATGGATTTCTCCATGCTGACGAGCTTGTCAAGCTCTGGCTGTAGGCAGGCAATGTGCATGGTTATGTTCTAAGCATCAAGTAGCGCCTGGATCCCATTGCAGTCAGATATAGATGCAATGGTTCAAGGGGCGCTGACACCTCTGCAGTGAGGGGCCGCAGCTATGGCATGTCCAGCCTTGGCAAGGCCAAAGCAGATCCTCAACTGCAACACTGACAAAGAAGCAGTGCAAGCGTCCCTGCCAGCCCCACCGGCGCCGGCGCCCAACAGCCACGCACTGCGCGTGCTTGCCACGTCTCAAACCCCTGATCTGTACGCCTTCTGCCGTTGCAAGGGTATAATATCATTGTCGCCTCACCGGCTCAGCGGCCCGACAGACACCGTCTCGCGGGCCCTGCGCTCGTGCTCCTTGCGCTGCGCGCGCACCTCGCGGTTGTGCGCGCTCGCCTCGCGCTCCCAGCGCGACTTGGCGCCGCAGCGCAGGCGCGTGAGGACCGTGGCGGCCTGGCCCTTGGTGAGCGCCGGCAGCGGCGGCGTGTGCTCGGCGCCGGCGGCGCGCATCTTGTCGAGGCCGAGGCGGCGCTCGACGAGCGCGCGCTGCGACTCGCTCGCGGGGCGTGCGCGCCAGGGGGCGTTGCGCGCAAGCATGCTGATGCCGCCGAGGCCGCGGCCGGCGAGCGAGGTGGCAAACGTGTCGCAGCCGCGCAGCGCCGCCTCGAGCGAGTCGACGTGCAGCAGCAGGCGCGGGCGCCGGTAGGGCGCGACCTTGCGCACGCTGCCGCGCCGGGTGAAGGGATTGAGCGCGGCGGCCTGCTCGGCGTCGTTTCTCGCAAAGTAGTTGCCGAGCCAGCCGTCTGCGGGCCCGCCCTTGGCGCGCGCATCCGTCTCGGCGTGCGGGCTGTCGCGCTCGATGCGCACGTAGCCGTTGCTCGGCGGCAGCTCGAGCACGTAGATGTCGTCGCCGCAGTCGACCCAGGCGTTGGGCGTCATGCGCTCGAGCACGCCGCGTGTGCGCTGCAGCATGGCGCGCTGCAGCTCGGCGGGGCCCCACTCTTCGTACGTGATCGCGCTCGGGTCCGGCACCTCGCCGGTCATGTCGGGGGGCGGTAGGCTGTCCGAGTCTGAGCTGGACCGCTGCTGCATCTCGTCGAGCGTCGCGTCTGGGGGTTGTGAGCGGAATTCGGCGGAGGGCACGCGGCGCTCACCGTCGATGCTCTCGGGATCGAGGCCGAACAGCGTCGGCGTGCAGACCACGCCGCGCTCAGAGTTCCCGACGAGGTCGAGCACGATGCAGTCCGTCTTGCCCGTCGCGGGGCTGAGGCGCATGCCGCGGCCGATCATCTGCGAGAAGAGGTTGCGCGAGCGCGTCGGGCGGGCCAGCAGCACGCAGTCGATCGCAGGCACTGCGGGGGTCAGTAGGTGCCATGCCATGCGGCGCCATGCTCACCGTCGGCGCCCTCGGTTAGAATCGCTGCAGGCGAAGTCAGCAATGATCACGCTGCTGCTGCACTCGGCTCACCGCAGTTGACGAGCACGGGAAAGACGCCCGCGCGAAAGTCTTCCAGCAGGCTGCGGCGCTCGCGCATCGCCGTGCCGCCGTGCAGGAAGCGCGCGTCGATGCCTGCCCCACGAAACTCGGCCGTGAGCGCCTCGACGTGCGCGATGTTGACGCAAAAGACAATCGTCGAGCGGCGCGCCGCGGCGCGGTCGAGCCAGCTGCGCACGATGAGGCGGTTCACCGCCGGCGTGTTGACGACGTTGGCGAGCGACGTGGGCGTAAAGTCGCCCGACGCCGTCGAGAGGCGCACGGCGCTGAGGTCGATCGTCGCGCGCACCGCCGTGAAGCGCACCGGACAGAGCCTGTGCGGAAGTCAGAGAGGGGTGCTTGGGGCTTGAGGCGACGCACCACTCTTCGGCGATCATCTGCGGACGTGTCAGCCCACGTCGCCACGCTCGGCGCGCCACGCGCAGCGCACCTCGAGAAAGTCCTTGTGAAAGACGATGCGGTCAAAGACGGTGCCCAGCGCGAGCCCGTCGTGCCGCGCAAACGTCGCCGAGAAGCCGATGATCGGCACGGGCCGCGCTGCCGCAGGTGGCCCCTCCCTTGCTGGCCCCTCCCTTGCTGGCCCCTCCCGTGCTGGCCCCTCCCTTGCTGGCCCCTCCCTTGCTGGCCCCTCCCGTGCTGACCCCTCCCTTGCTTCTTCAGGCGGCCCTTCTGCGACGGCCGGGTCAAAGTGCGCCAGCACGGAGCGGTACGCGGGCGCGGCGGCGTGGTGCGCCTCGTCGACGATGACGCCCTTGAAGCCGGCGGGGTCGAACTTGTCGAGGCGCGCCGGCGAGCGGTGCAGCGTCTGGTACGTCGCGACGGTGACGTCGGCGGCGCCGCTGGCGCGGAACCTGGCGCCCTGCTCGAGCTCGACGAGCAGCTCGGGGTGCGCCGCCGCCACGACGCGCGCCGTCTGCAGCGCCAGCTCGATCGACGAGACGAGGATGAGCACGCGCGAGCCGGCGCCGCCGTATGCGTTGGGCAGCGGCGGCAGGCGCGCCAGGAGCGACGTGAACATCGTCGTCTGCGAGGGTCAGCGGCGGCAGACGGCGTGTGCGTGGCGGCGGCGCACCTTGCCGCTGCCCGTCGGCGAGCTGACGCCGATGCGCGACACGCCGGCGGCGAGGCTGAGCAGGCACTCCTCGACGCACTCCTCCTGGTACGGCCGCAGCGTGGGTGCGCTGCTGAGCTGGCGGAGGCGTAGCGCGGCGAGGCGCGGCGCGCATGGTGTGAGCCTTGCCACGGCTCTGCGGGCCCACGACATGCGGCGCGCGGGGATGTGGAGCGGAGCGAAGAAGCGCCGCTCAAGGGCGCGCGACGTTGTGCCCGCCGCGCGGCGCGCTCGCATGGGAATCCATCCGCCTTGTCCTCGAGGCCCAGCACACGTACGGCGTCACACGCTACCATTGGACAGTCGGGGTATCATTGCACCAGCACGATCACTCCGCGGGCGCCCGCTCGGTGCCCGCCGGCATCGGACACAGCGCCACGCCGCGCTCGTCCCACGCGCTCACGAGCACCACCTGCGCACGCTGCACATCCACGGCCACGCCCGTGACGACGCTGGGCTGCCACGCGTCGGCGCTCTCGTCACCCGCCGCCCACGCCGGGCGCACAAACGTCTCCTTGGGCAGCCACAGGCCGCGGCGGCGCAGCTCGCCGAGGCGCGCCAGCTGCCACGGGTGCAGCACGGCGCCGGCGACGCGGTGCACATGCGTCACCTGGCTCACGCGCCCGCGCGGGCGCGGCGGCGGCGCGCCCTCGCCGTGCGCCAGCCAGGCGGCCCAGTCGGCCAGCACGGCGCCCGCGTCGAGGCTCTCGGCGAGCCAGAGGCGCCCGTACGCATCGCTCGCCAGCGCGCTCGGCACGCGCGCGAGCGGCTGCGCGTGCAGCGAGACGTACGCCGGCGTGTAGCTGCGCACGCGCGAGGCCACGCCGTACGGGTCGCGCGTCTCGGCGATGCCGGCGCGGATGCCGCGGACCTGTGGGCGAGGGTGAGCACGGTGCGGCGATGGTAGCGGAGAAGTGCAGCAATGGAGGGTGCCGAGAGGTGCAGCAATGGCAGCGGTGCAGCGCCTCGCAGCGCTCGCAGCTCTCGCAGCACGCGCAGCTCTCGCAGCCCTCGGGGCCTCGCCCCACGCCGCGCTCAGGTTTTCTCTGGAGGTCAGCAGCGGGTGCCCGACGGCGGTGTGTGTGCCGCAGGCTCCCTGCAGAATTGGCTTAGACGCTATGGTCTCTCATCCCGGCGGCGTGTGGGGGGGGGGGGGGCGCTGCGACGAGCGCACTGCCGCAGGAGGGCGGCATGCTCTGCACTTCGAAGGCACGCACTGCGCATGCCCACTCACCCAGTGCTCCTCCCACTCGCGCACCTCGGCATGCGCCACCGCGGCGTGCGCCACGAACAGCACCGGCGTCGTCGAGTTGCGCGCCGCCACGGCGCCGCCGCCGTGCCACGCGGCCAGCAGCGGCGCGCTCCACGAGGCCTCGGCGCCGGGCGCGACGACGACGCTGCGGTTGGCGCGCGCAATGTGCATGTGCACGTCGGCGTAGTGCGCGGGCCGTAGCATGCGCCGCGCATGCTGCGCCACCGAGGCGGGCGGGCGCAGCGGCAGCGCGGCAGGCGCGAGGTAGAGAAAGGAAGGCAGGCGCAGCACGCCGGCCGCGCCCGAGACCGGCGGCGACCACTGCGACGGCTCGGCGACGATGCGCGCCGCGCGCGTGGCGATGTGCGAGTGGAAGTGCGCGGCGGCGCCGCCGGCGCGGTGCACCCACACGCTCACGCCCGAGGGCGAGGCGACGAGCAGCAGCGTCGTGTCGGCGTCGTCGTGCGCGCGCGTGAGGGCAAACGACGTGGCGGCAGAGGGCGCCGGCGCGCCGGCAAAGACGAGCTGCTGCGGCGGCGCCGGGGACTGCAGACGCATCAGCGATGGAGCGCAACTCACCCCCCCCCCCCCCCCCCCCCCCCCCCCCCCCCCCCCCCCCCCCCCCCCCCCCCCACAGCTCGCGGCCGCGGCACAGCAGAAACGCCGCGTCGCCGGCGGGCGCCAGGTGCGCCTCGGCACAGCGCTGCGGCGCCGCCTCGATGCGGCACGCCGCGTGCGGTGCGGCGCCTTGGCGCGCGGCCGGGCGGGCGTGGAGCGCCTGCGAGGCCGCGTCTGGCGGGGGGGCAGCGTGAGGAGCGCGCCTGGATGGATGGCTGGCAGGCGACTACGCACACGGCCGCAGCAGCAGCACGGCGAGCAGCGCCGCGCTGAGACTGCTGATCGCCAGCGGCACGAGCATGCCGGGGGGAAGGGGGTGGTGGTGCAAAGAGAAGCGGCGGCGGCGATGCGCGCAAGACCCTGGGCCCCTCGCACCCGCACCGCACGGTACTCAGACTGGCGCACGCACCCGCACCGCACGGCACTCAGACTGGCGCCCACACCACGCTGGCTCCCGCAGCACGACACTGAGACTAGCACCCACACCACGCTGGCCGCCGCACCGCACGGGCACGCACACACTGCACCTCACACTCACCCCTCCAGCACGGTCGCGCATCGCATCGATTGCCATCACGGCAGACTGGCATGTCGGCAGAGCTCAATGGCGCCCGCGCGCTGGCAGCACTGGGCGCGCGGGGCTAAATCCTGTCTGCAAGTAGGAGCGTCGCTGTGCCTCTCACCTTCATCACGCTCGTCCACGCAGGCGGCCGTGCGGCCGGGACGGGTGGCAAATAACGGAGAGGACGTGGAGGCGAAGGAAGCGGGCGCGGCGCGGCGCCGGCGGCGAAGAGCGCGGCGCGAGGCAGACGCCGCAGCAGAGCGACCGCCGCGGCGCGCAGCCGAGGCTCGGACAAAGCCGCGGCACACCAACACGCCGCGCCGCCGTCGCAGCGGCAGTAGCCCCTGTGCTGCGCGGGCGCCGCGCTGCCATGGCACATGCCGCTGGACGCTGTCTGCACCCGCAGCTGCCGCCTTCGCAGTGCAGGCGTGCTCCACCCTACGGCCAGCAGCTCGGCGACGCGGGGGGGGGGGGGCGGCGTGTGTGCGCGCGGCGGCGTCGCAGGTCGCGCGACTGCGGCGCGTGATGAGGCGCGCGCCAGCCACCGTCGGCGCTGCGTGTGGCTTGCCTTCTCTCCACGTCCTCTCCACCGCCTCCTCATCGCTGCCTCGCTGTGCTCACGTCGTCCGCTCGCCCTCACACTCTCTCCTCTTCTGCTCCGTCTGGCCGCTGCGCCCCTTGTCCTCGGCCGCCTCGCGTGTCCTTGCTGTGCCCGTGCGCGCGGCGTGGCGCAGCGCCCTCCCATCGCCGGCGCTCTTGGCGCTCGCGTGCGCGCTCCCGGCTTGCACATCCGCCACACAAGCGCTGCCATCGCACCCCCACACCCGCAGCGCCGCCTCTGCCGCCAGCTCGCCTGCACTCCGCCTTGCCCCTGGGCGCGCTGCCCCCGCCCCGGCCCACCATGCGCTGCCGCCCGCCGCGGCGCCCTCTGCGGCGCGCGCTGCTGCTCCTCGGCGCCGCCGCCGCCGCCGCCAGCACGGCACACGCCCTCGCCGTCGAGTGGCCCGAGCGCCTCGAGCAGTGCCAGACGGCGCTGCTGCGCATCGCAGACGTCGGCGCCGCCGCCGCCGCCGTCGAGGTGGGCGTGCGCCGCGGACGTGAGTGAAAGAGGGGGGGGGGGGGGGGGGGGCCAAGTGGCGGTGAGGCGTGGAAGTTGGGGGGGGGGAGGGGGTCAGCACGCTGTGTCGCTCGCCGCGGACGGGAGCCTGAATGGACGTCAGATGCAGGGATGCTGCGTGCTGCTGCGCTGCATCTGCGTGCGGCCTGCACGCCGCTGCAGCTGCGGCTCGGCCAGCTTGCGCTGTCTCGCGGCTGCGGGTGCACGGCAGCGCAGATGGCGCAGCGCTGCATGGGCAGCCTGCATGCAGACGACGCGGCCCCCGAGCCGATGGCCCCGGCGGGTGCATCGACGTCGTCTGTGTCGCCTCGCTGCCACGCAGACGCGGAAGCACGACACGTGCCTCTTGGCGACGCAGATGATGGAGGGCTTGGCTCGCAGCGTGGACGCTCACGTCGCTGCCTGCCCCACGGGACCTCGCACGTTGACGCCTTCTCTCCCCCCCCCCCTCTCCGCTTTTCACCCTTCATCTTCTAGCACGCCTCGACCGCTCCTTCATCCTCGAGCAGCTGCCCGCATCGGCCGACGTGTGGAACTGGACGGCCGTCGACGTCGCTGCCGGCACCGCCGTGCTGCTGCACGTGGCCGAGCTGTCGGGCGCGAACCTGACGCTCGCGGCGACGCTGGCGCACTACGTCGTGCAGCTGCCGGCCGACGGGCGCAACGACACGTCGTGCCTGCGCACGGCACGCAGCGCCGGCGGCGGCGCCACGCGGCAGCGCAAGACGGAGGTGACGCTCATCGGCGGCATCCTCGGCGGCATCCTCGCGCTGCTGCTGCTCCTCATCCTCGGCATGTGCTGGCGTCGCCGGCGCGAGGCGCGCCTGCATCCGCCGCAGCCGCACGACGCCAGCGCCGCCCTCGTCGCCAACGGCGCGCCGCCCGGCGGCGCCGGCGCCGCCGGCTGGGGCTACATGTCGGCCGTCGTGCCGGGTCTCGAGGCCTCGGCGGCACAGACGCCGCCGCGACGCGTACGCGGCTGGCGCACGCGCCGGCACGAGGAGCCGCACGAGATGGAGCTGCCGAGCTACGGGCGCAGCCAGTGGGAGAAGAGCCGCCTGCCGCAGTACCCGGGTGCGTGCCAGCGGCCGCCGTGCGCAACGCTTCGCTCACCCCTCCTCCAGCTGAGCCGCAGTCGCCGGCGCACTTTGCCGGCGAGAGCACGACGGACCTGCTGCCGGCGCTGCCGCGCCAGCCCGGCGCGCCGCCGCACGGCGCGAGCGCGTACGGCGTCTTTGACCGCACCTCGTCGCCGCCGCCGCTCGACGGCGCCGCCGACGCCGCCTCGTCGGCGCTGCCGCGCGCGGGCAGCAGCGACGTGCACCGCCGCAGCCGCAGCGGCGCGTTTGCCGGCGACCTCGGCAGCCCGGCGTACCGCCTCGACGGCGCCGCGCCGGCCGAGCGCGGCCCCCGGCCCGCACCGACGGCGCAGGCGCCGTGGGACGACTGGTCCGCCCCGCAGCCGTCGCCCGGCGCCCGGCGTGCCGACGGCTCCCGTCCGTTCTGACACGCATGCCTCCATTGCCTCCGCTGCCTCCCACTGCACTGCTCCGCACCCGCACGTCACGCCCCGCCCATGTTGTAATTGTGACTTCCTCCTACGCCTTGGTGAAGATGCCGACGGCGTGCGGCACCACATCGCCGTCGTCCTCGCTGGCGGGGCGCAGCAGCTCGACGTGCTTCCAGCCGCCGAGCTGCGCGAGCCACACGCCCGAGTCGCGGTCGAGGCAGCAGCCGGCGGCGACGAAGCGCCAGAGCGGGTAGGTCCAGGCGCGCTGCACGGCACGCGTGAGGCGCGAGGCGCTGCCGACGTGCTCGAAGAGCAGCAGGCGCCCGCCGGGCGCCAGCAGCGACTGCAGGTACGCCAGGTGCGCGTGCGGCTCGGGAATGGAGCACAGCACCTGCACCAGCACGACGGTGTCGAAGCGCGCGGCGCGCACGCCCGCCTGCGCCAGCGCGCGCCGCTCGTGCACGCCGTGCGGCACGAGCGTGGCCACGGCGCCGAGGCCGTGCGCGGCAATGGCGCTGCGCAGCGGCGCGTGCAGCTCGGCAAAGGGCTCGAGGAGCACGAGCGACGTGACCTGTCAAGGGCGAGTCAGCGGCGCGGCAGGTGCTGGTGCCGCAGCACTGCAGACGTGCGGCAGATGCACTCGTGCGCTCGCCGCAGTCTTGCCCCTCCATGCCGCACTGGCCCACCACTGCAGTGGCCCATCTCTCTGGCCCTCTGCGCACCGACGCACCTCGCTGCGGCGGTAGTACTTGAGCGTCATGCCCGAGCCGGCGCCGACCTCGAGCACGCTGCCGTGGGCATGGGCGACGAGGTCGCGCTTCACGGGCGCCCACGTCTCGTCGCTCGCGGCGAGCAGCACGGGCATGGCGCGCGCCAGCAGCGCGTCGCGCCACGCCGCCGGGCGCAGCAGCTGCGCCGGCGCGCCTGCCAGCGCCGCACGCAGCTGCGTGGCGAGGGCGGCGAGGGCGCCGTGCCAGAGGAGCAGGCCGACGAGCAGCAGCGGCTGCGCGGCCTTGAGCAGGCGCGCGGCGGCGCCGGCGCACGGCGCAAAGGGCTCGGCGGTGAGGAGCGGCGAGAGCATGTGGTGGTGCAGAGGCGAGAGTGGTGGTGGTGGTGGTGGTGGTGGTGGTGGTGGTGGTGGTGGTGGTGGTGGTGGTGGTGAGGGGTAGTGCAGCGCGCAGCGTGGTGGTGGTGAGTCGGGAGCAGCGTGCAGCGCGCCGGCGCCTCCTTGTCGCCCGGCGCGCTTCTCACCTTGCCGCGCCGCACACGACACGCAGCCTCGCGCCTCTTGTTGCTCGGCCGCCCCACACGGCGCCGCACAGGGCCCGCGCGCACACGCCCAGGCTGCACGCATGTTGCCGACGAGCCAAGGCCCAGGCCTGGAGCATGCTGTCTCTGCACTGGCTGCCGTCAGCGTGGAGAAGCAAAGGACGAGTGCGAGTCGAGTGCATTGCGCTTTGCTGCGGCGGCGCACAGGCCAGGCGCGCCTGAAGGACGCCGCGCGCGCGCAGCCGCCAGCGCGGGTGACTGCTGGGCACACCTCGCTCGCGCGCCTCTCCTCCGCTCCGCCATCTCCTCTCCGCGCCGCCGGCCCGCGTCGCACCCATCCACACTGCGCCAGTGTCGCCCCTTCTCGGCTTACACACCCCACCAGCGCCGGCCATGGCCGCTCCGCCCGCGCCCGCCGCCGCGCCCGCGCCCCTCGTGCTGCACTCGCTCGACGAGGCCTTTGCGCTGGCCGAGGCCGTCGCCGCCGGCAGCACAGGCACCGGTGCCGGCCACGCCGCGCCGCCGCCGCAGCTGGCGCAGCTGGCCGACGCGCTGGAGCGCCTGCAGCGCCGCGAGCGCGAGCGCGACGGCGCCGGCACCGTGCTGCTCGCCGCCGCCGCCGGCGCGCACGAGCCGCTGGCGTTCGTCGAGTGGCGCGCGCCCGCCGCCCTTGTCGGCCTGCATGTGCTGTGAGTGGCGTGCGGGTGCGGGGTGCATGCGGGGCGCAGAGCAGCAGCGGCGGGCATGTGGCGCAGCAGGGCGCGGGCAGCCAGAGGCGCCAGCGTCACCGCGGCAGCACAGCGAGTCGCGTGCCTGCGTCACATGCAAGTCCTGGGGCGTCGTCGGTGCCTTCGTCACAGCGCCTGCAGTGCGGTCGTCGGCGCTTGCTGCCGTCCATGCTCGACGTCGGTGCCTCGGCGATGCATGCGCCGCGCTCGACGCCGCTGCGGGGCGCATGCTCACCGTCGTGCGGTCGCGCGCTGCTCGTCACGCCAGGCCGCAAGCACGCCGCTCACCCCCCACCGCAGCATCGCACGCATCATCGCGCGCCCGGCGCCGGCGGAGCGTGCGGCGCTGGTGCCGTTCATCGACGCGCTGCTGCGCCTCGGCGACGGCAACGTGCTGCGCCAAGCCGCCGCGCGCGGTGAGCCCGCGCCCGCACCGGCGCAGCCCGAGCACGCCTGACGTTCCCCCTGTGCAGTCGACCAGTTCGCGCACCTGCTGCACGCCGTCGCCGAGAGCCTGCAGGACGTAAGTCGCCGCCCGGGCGCCTTGTACGTCCCCCCC